TTTTTTTTTACTTCATCTTTAGTGCCTGGACCAGTGGTGCAGTCATTCTAAGTGCTTAGTTATTAGGAATCTTCCCTGAGAAATTATCAGACTTGATAATCAACAATTAATCTGGCCACCTATGAATAGTCTGAACCTTACCATGTTATCTAACCTTCTGACTTTAAAACTTATTTTTTTTCTCATGTTTTCAGACCAAATTAAGGGAGAGAAAGGTGAGTTTATAATGAACAAAATATTCAGGGATGCCATGTCTTGATATTTGAGAGCAAAATTATGGGTATAGTTATGGCATTTTGTCAAAAGTTTGAACTGAGGCATACATAATTTGAATTTTTACTTCCATACAACACGGGTATATCTTGATACATCTGAGGTAACTGTGGAACAGTGGATTCAACATCTCTTGGTTTCTCCCAGTTCATAGTGTTTCCAGAGGCAAGCTATTGTGGAAGTGGATGCCACTCCTGTTTCCAAGCTTGTTTTAATCAGCGAGCTTCACCAAACACTGTCTACCATGGGTAACCATTCTTGCATTTGACTCATCAGTGTCACAGTGTTTGGCTTCACAGGAACCATGAGTTACCTTTGTACAGCAAGTGGACATACCAAGGTTACATGACCTAGAAGAATGTTTCACCAAAACCATTTAAAGTCTGGGAGAGGGCCTGATAAAATTTTAAGCATGGCCCTGGAACAGGCACCACAGGCTTGACCCCACACTTAATTACCCTTATTGTAAGCGTCAGGGCCACCCATCTACCTTTGAAGGCCTAAAAGGACAGTAACACACAATGGGAAAGACCCTAGAAACTTCCCTTGCCTTACTGCCACCAAGAGGATCCTCCATGGAGACACCAGCCCTCCCATTAGCTTAGCCAGCTGACTCCCAGAGTGTAGAAAGACTCCAGTCCACAAGCCTCCTGATAGGTTAATAATATACTAATAAAGAAATAATAATGGTCAAAGGAACCTATGAGAAGACATCAAGATGGATGTCACTTTCCCAAGTTTTTTATTTATGTTTCTCTTTTTGAATTCTAAAATGCAGACTGTGTTACATTAACACAGTAGAGAAATTGCACAGTTGTCTTATAATAATTTCTCCAATTTGAATCTCAGAAGGAATTTGTTAGCAGTGTGAATTTTGGATTTAAAAATAATGAGCTAATGACAACAACATCCTATCTTTCCAAGTATCACTTTTTTACCACCTAGAAATTTGTAAAATGTTGAAATAAAAATAAAGAGTATTAATACTTCATATCTCAAAGAACTGAATAAACCCAAGGGAAGAATATTTATTGGAATTTTTTTAGTTGTGGGTTCCCTATAATTGTATTAATTTGATATATTTATTTTTCAGTGTAAATATAGTTCCCAGCCCCACTATTACTTTGCAAACTTGTCTTGTACTTGAGATTGAAGGCTATTTATATGTGTTTCTACAATGCTACTCAAAGACAGAGAAAATTTAGAACTCCAACGAGTTGATGTATTACAAGGAAGTGCCTTTGAAGTCAAATAAGTTTTTGATAAAACCTCAAGTCTAGAAAATGTCTAGAAAGACAGCAAGTTCTATATTCTTGCTATCCTCTCAGTTTCATCTTTTAGATCGTGTCATTAGTTACTCTTGAATCCCACTAATGACCAAATGAGAGTCTCCTTGTCAGATATGCAATGATGAGACCCATACAGTTCAAAGACTTCTTGAAATTCCCTGGCATTTATGATGATGGGAGAGTTTTTGATGATGTTAATTGAATGATGTGGAAATTATATCTAAATTAGTTGTTAGAGTAACATTATGAAAAAATCTGAATCTCAAATTATTTAAAATTTTATATATATTGAAATTAAGATTTACTCTTTCATATACTATTTGAAATATCACCTTATTATCCTTTTTCTTTTTGACATTTCAGTCACATAGTCATACAATTAATAGCATGGATATTTAACCTTTAAAGAAGTGAATCTATAGCCTTTATGGTTGATTGAAAAGGTTTGGGGACCTATGCTTGTTTGGTCTGGTCCTGTTTGAAAGACAATTTTTTTTTCTCTCTCTCTTTTTCTTTCAGAAAAACGTCAGAAAGAAAATGGTAAACTTCCATGAAAATCAATTTATGGACATGCTGTTATCTTCCTACAGGAATTTTGTTTGTTTCCTTCCCACTTCACCTTTGTTGCTAACTCCTACTGAATATATTTTGTGTGGGTTTTTTTCTCATAATTTTTGTTTTTATATTTCTACTGCTCTGTTTGCCCATTTTTGTGCTTACTATCGTTATGCCAAAAATCACATTTGTCATATTATTGAATTATCTTTAACAAGTATAGGATCTCTTGATTTTTATTCATGGTCAATATGTTTATGTTCAGTCTGTGATGATATTTATTCTGCCTTCAGAATATGTTAGAGCTCTTGTGATACTTCTGCTCCCAAAGTTTGATGGCTAAAGTTAAGCTTCTAAGAAATAGAGTTTTATCAAAGTACTTGAAATAGTACTCTAAAAACTCTCAGCTTTGTGATTGTAACATTGGTGCCTAGGCCAGTGTTGGAATCATGCCATATACTTAGTGATTATGAATATACTTTACTGGATATAAATTAGATTTTTTCAGAATTTTTTTTGTATTAATCTGGCCCCTTAGCAAAGATCAGAATTTAATGATATTATAGAATCTGTTGACCTAGAAATTGTCTTAAATTTTTTCTATTATTTTTCATATAGTGAAGAAAGAGAAATATAGGGTTTATCAATTTAAATGATTTCATATAAAATCCTTGAGATCTTTTCCAAGGTTGCAAACTGCTTTGGAGGAGATGCTTCATCTTTCTCTCATAGAAGCATTGATGGATCTGAAAACTTCAACTTATGATTAACAGCTCAGCTCCCTATGGACTATTCCAGCAGAAAATAGAGGCTTTCAATCTTATTTTTTCATCTTAGTTTTTCTTAAAAAACATTTCCCTTCTGCTAAAACACACAGGCCAGTCAGGACCCTTGATATTCTCCTCTATTACTTATTAATCTAAAATAGAAAGACAATGTGATGCTCAAAATCCACTGAAGCATGTTTCTTTTATGACTGGCAACCTAGTAGGTGCTGGTTCGCACGACAGAGGTAATGGGTTGGCTGCTACTTCAAAGTGTTAATGCTTTAAGTTCACTCAGCAACACCTCAGAGGAAAGGCTTGAAATTTAATTTCCTAAGATTGAGCCTTTAAGAATCCTATGGAGCTCACTTCTGCCTATATAGACATGAGGTCACTGTGTCATGGTCAATTCATCATGCACTGGTTTCCGGCCAAAAACATAACAATGCGATAATAATGGAATAATGATGATCAAAACATTCTATGACAAGAAGGTTTTTTTTATTAAAAATGACACTTCCTTTTTTTTTAATAAAAACCTTAAATCTGACTGTAATACATACATTAGCATATAACAGAAAAACTGCAGATAATTGTAGAAATTATAATTTCTCCAAATTGAATTCTTGGCTGGCTCTGGAACTTATGAACACCAAAAGCACTTTGAGAGTTGAGTGTGCTTAAGATTTGAAAGTAGTGAGCTATTTGCGATAAGATCTTTATTTCACTGTGTAATTCTAATTAAAATCTAGAAACTCGCACATCAATCACATAAAAACAGATTATTTTTACCTCATTTTTTAAAGAACTGGGTAAATATAAAAAATATCGGTCCTACATTCCTATATATTCCTTAATGATGCTAAGTTTATCTCCTATTACCTTAAAATGAATTTTTCTTTAATAATTCTAATTGGTTGAAATATTATGTCCAGTATACCCTTAAAAAAAGTTAATTTTAATGTGAATATAATTCTAAGCTTTCCTGTTGTTTGACATAATTAATTATCAAGTAGTTGTTGTTATGTGCCATCAAATCGTTTGCGACTCATAGCGACTCTATGTACAAGAGTCCTAAATGCCATCCTATCCTGTGCCAACCTCACTGTCTCAATCACCGTCATTCCCACTACTCCACTCACAGAATCGATCCATCTCATAGAGGGTCTTCCTCTCCTGCACCGTCCCTCCAATCTCCCAAACATGATGTCCATCTCTGAAGGACCAGTCCCTCCTTGCAACATGCCCGAAGTATGTCAGAAGGAGCTTCAGAATCCTTGACTCCAGGGAGCACTCTGGCTTCACCCTCTCCAGGACAAACCTGTTTGTTCTCCTAGCAGTCCATGGTATATTCAACACTCTTCTCCAGCACCACAATTCAAAGGCATCAATTCTCTTTCTATCCTCCCTATTCATAGCACACAATTGCAAAGACTGGATCAGGCACACCTTAGTAATGACCAAAATCTGTTTATATATTAATTCTTTAAATTGTGTTAGATGGCAGGGTATCCAGAACACTAAGCCACTTATTTTACTGCATGAAACCACTTTTGGAGTCAACCATGAAATAACAACTCTAGGAAAGATACCAAGTTAAAGCTCCTGATCTAATGTAATACTCGTAGTATCTTATGTAATTTTAAGTATAGAGAAAACTTTTGTTGGCATCCCTATCATTCGTGATGATGATTTTTCCGATTATGATGACAATAAGAAAATGTTTTCACACTTAGACTATTGTTTCATTAGAGTAAAATTAGACTTAAAGTAACATTATGAAGCATTAGATTCACAAATAATTTAAATTTTACCCATGATATCATTAAGCTTATTTCTCTATTCACTATTTGTTTTGATGTCTTATTTTTCCCTTTAGGATACTTCAATATTATATATACAAGAAAAAGAACAATTTTTATGTTTAGTTTTCAAAGTAGCTAATATCAGGCATATGTATCTGATGGAAAGCACAATGGAGGATATATTCTGTTGTTGTGTTTAGAAAATAATTGTGTCTTTTTCTTTACTTTCTTTTTAGAACAACTTAAAAAAGCAAATGGTAAGCTTCATTGTTACACAATTTGTTGACAATTTATGATCTGTCAGATTTTCTGACTTCCTTCTTCTCTTATCTATGCCAATAACTTCCTCTGAATTTCACATGACTTTACTTTTTTATGGTTTTTATTCTTTTTTTATTGTTATAGGTTTCCTTTTCCATTTCTCTCTCCTGTATCTCCCACCAATTACATTGATCTCATTTTTTAATTATCTTTAATAGATGTAGTATTTCTTAATCTTTCTTCATGATACTAGTAATAGCTCCTTTTGTCCAGAGGGAGATGAGTGTCAATCTGCTGTGACAAAGTATTAGACAGAGCTCTTGTTGTAGGTGCTTTGGTCAAAATTACATGGTAAGAATGCTTCTTTTAGGCAACCCAATTTTTATAATGTGTTTGAGCGAGTTTCTTGAAATGTGAGCCTGTATTCTCTGCTTTAAATTTGTACTTCAGTGGCTCAACCAGCCGTGCAATCATTCTAAGTGCTTAGTGATTAGGAGTCTTCTTTTAGAAATTATAAGACATGTTTTTGATTCACTAATCTGGCCACCTATTATTAGTCAGAACTTCACCATAATATCTATCGTACCTACTGATTCTTAAAACTTTATTTTTTTTTCTAGTTTGCTTTTCAGACCAAATTAAGGAAGAGAAAAGTAGGTCTAGAAAGTACATAAAATTCAGGGATGCCATATCTTGATATGTGAGAGAAAAACAATGAGCATAGTCATGGTGGATTGGCAAAAGATTGAACCCAGGAATAAATGAAACTACTTGAATTCCTTCTAATATACAAGAGTTATGCTTTGACACACATGAGGTCAATTGTGGCACAGTCAAATAAAAGTTTTTGGTTACTGGATGACAAATTTATGATATGATAATAAGGAAATAATGATGGTCAAAGTAATAAGGAGTCATCAAGAGGGATTAAACTTGCCTAAATTTTCTACTCTTTGTTTCTTTTCATATTCTAAAATACAGACTCTTTCATTAGTACAGCAGCGATGCAACATAATGTCTTGAAATCATTTCTTCAATTCGAATGTTGGACATGTTTTAGACATTAAAACATTAAAAGTAATATGATGTTGGCAAGATATTTGGATTTGAAAAGTATGACGAAATGGCAATGACATCTTATATTTCCCATGAAAACTCTTTTATGCTAACTAGAAACTTATAAATGTTGAAATCAGGCAAAGAATATTATACTTTACATTTGAAAGAACTGAATAGATGTAAAGGGAAGAATATTCCTTGTATTTTCTTCTTTGTAGGTTTTCTGAAATAATGGTAACTTCATAGCTTAACCACTTTATTTCTTGTTGCAATATATTATAATATAAATCAATGAAAATATTTTAAATCTCTCCTCCTCTCATCCATTTTCACCTGATTCTGCACTTTCTCTCATTAGACCCTCATACTAGTTATCCTTCTATTTTTACAATAATGGTCTTATGCATTATTTGTCCTTATGAGATGTATTTGACTCAGCATAACACTCTCTAGTCTCTAAAAATTTACATAGTAGTTTTTGAAATTATTGCTCCTGATTTCTATGTACTGATGGTGCTGCAAAACTGCACTGTTTCATTCAGAAAACTGAAATAGGATACACATGTCACATCATACAAAAAGAAAAAAAAATAAAACCAGTTTAATCAGAGACACCCGGAGTTAAGCTTCAATATATCAGTTTAGTAAGAGACAACAGGGACCAAACTTAGATGGCTATATTACAGCCTATGCAGACAGAAATCTGCAATGTGGAGAGAATAAAATTGATGAATGTGTCCTTCTAGAGATTAAATCTCTATCTCCACCAAAGACTTTTTCTGATAGAGTGAAAAATTACCTACCATCTAGAAAGAAACTACCTTATTTTTAAATGTGAATATACTTCTAAGCCTCATTATTGTTTGACATACTTGTCCAATACTGGACATGTAAATTTATTTATGTCATTCTAAATGGTGCTAGAAGTTGCAGAAAATTTAGTTGATGTGTTACATGAAAGTGCATTTGTAGTAAAATAATTTTTACATAAAACCTCAGTTGAGTATATAACTGTTAGAAAAATATCAAGTTATGTGCCCTTACACTCCTCTCATTGTGATACTGCTTGTAATTCATATAATAATGAGTCCATAGAGTTCAAAGATTTGTTGAAATTCCCTGGCATTTGTGATGCTAAGATGCTTTGTGATAAATATAATAAGACATGAAATTGATGATGAGGCAATTATTAGTTGTTAGGATATTTTGAAAATTTGAATCTGAAATTATTTAAAGTATTAGGCATATTGAAATTAAAGTTTATCCCATCATTTACCATTTGAAATAAAGCCTTGTTATCCTTTTCCTTCTCTACATTTTAGTGACATACTCACATAATTAATAACACAGATAATTAACCTTTAAAGAAGTTAACCTATGACATTTGCACTTATTGGAACAGTTTGGGAAAAACATGTATGTTTGTTTTGGTCTTGTTTAAATTAATATTATTCCCCCCAACCCACGTTCTCTTTCAGAACAACTTCAGAAAGAAAATGGTAAGATTCAGTGACCATCAGTTTGTGGTTATGCTGGGATCTTCTTCCAGGAATTTGGATTGTTTTCTTCCTGATTACCCTATGCTGAATATATTTTGTGATATTCTTTCTTTTAGATTTTATGCAGTCTTTTTATTAGCTGTTCTCTTCCTTATTTCTCTCCTTGCAGTCTTTATCCATCAATGACATTTGGTTATTCTTGAATTGTCCTTAACAAATGTAATGTGTCTTGTGTTGGATCCATGCCACTGCTTAGTGACAAGAAAACTTCATTAGTAGATTAAAATCAGAATTTATCAGACGTGACTTTGTGTGCTAAATAGACAATGTGGCAAAGATCAGAACTTAATCTGAAACTTCTATCTGTTGTCCTCAGAATGGTTTAGAACAAAAAATTTCAAGAAAAAACCATGACCAAATGGCAATAGTCCTTTTGTGAGGCCTGTTCCTCTTGTGAGATGTGCTTTTGGGGGACAATCCCTTCATTCTGCTGCAAAACACCAAGGCTTAAGTGGCATGGCGGGCATAGGAGCGTCATCCAGCAACCACTTCCCTAGAAAGTGCTAAAGCCTGCATTTAAGCCCAGGAACCCTCACACCCTAGCCAGTGACAAAACCACTGCCTGCCAGATTGAGCGGTGCAATTTTACACCTCAATCCTACCCAGAGCACTAGACCATTGGCCTGGCTATCTGAAGATCACAGTGCCCATCCACCTTCAGATTGCCCAGCTGCCAAGCATCAGGAGCACCAATGCCTTAGTATTAGAGTAGTATATAGTATATAGTATATAGTATATAGCATATAGCATATAGCATATAG